ACAAGACAGTTAAATCACAATACAAATATGTAAAGATTCAGATAAAAAATGAATCTCTTTTTAAACAGCAGAAGGCGCTTTCTACTTTTGACTTCTTTTGTCCAATGTCCTATGTCATAGTCCCAAAGTGTCTGTATTTGATAACCTGTGAATAAGACTCAACAACCAACTAACTTTCTTGGCTCTGATTGGTTGTTTTCGTTCAGACCCGGTGGATTCTAGCAAATGCCATTAGGAGCACTAGGAGGAGCCAGAGGATTATCTGTCTCCTGTTTTACAGTCAGGATATAGTGAAAGTTTATATAAGTAGAATTATAACAGTATATACAGTATATACAGTAGTGCATTTCAAATGCAAATCCAAATACAGAAATAGAACGCAATAATACAAAATGAATACAGGAAATATAGGAAAACGAAATGTTTATTACAGACATGGCATGTGACTGTGTATTTTTTGGGGGCTTTTTAATGTTTAATTAAAGATATTTAAACATGTAAAAACAATGAAATTGCCTATTAATACAGGCAAACACTGCTATAATACAAATTTACAGAAGAGTGCTGTTATTATCCTAACCCTAACTGTAATTAAAGTCACCATCTGTGAAATTACAGTGATTATTGCTGCTTTCAGTGGTGAAACTATATTATGACAGTTTACCATTGCACTTGCATTTTACCATTATACACTGATAAAAAAACATTTAATCAGTGTTTTTTGTTGTGAAAACATCTGTATTTTATTAAATTAAAAAAGATAAATATAATAAAATAATATTAAAAAAATAGAAAACTTTTTTTAAATAAACAGGAAAAAACCTGTACATTTACAGATTGTGTACATCTTTCTGTTCGCATTATGTTTCTCAAATCATACATTTTGCCCTCATCTTGAAATAACAGTTTCTGCCATCTTTACATGCTGTTCTTTTCTCTTGCAGAGGGAGAAGGAACAGGAGGAGAAGGTACGAGAGGAGGCCCAGTTGATGGAGTTTGTTAGAGTCCGACAGAACCTGAGAAAGATCCATTCAGCCATCCAGAGCCAGGCTGCAAACTCCTTAAGTACAACAGAAGAACAATTTTTAAAATGAACTCATAATTTAAAACCTACTGCCCTTCACTTCAAGTAATGAGGTGCATGCTGAAAGATAATTAGTATTATAGTTCAATGATAGAGATTTTTTTTAAATAGACACAAATTCACAGATACTTATTTAAGCAGTATTCTTTTATAGCAATGTGTAAATTTAATCTGCATGTTTATAGCCAATACAACATATCACTATATCCTGACAGCAGTACATGAGGCAGATAATCTGTGAAATAATCAGGTTCCTCTGGCTCCTCCTAGTGCACCTAATGGCATTTGCAAGAATCTACTGAGCCTGAATGAAAATCAGATCAGAGCTCAAAATGATTCCTGGACAGATTATCTGTCTCATGTACTACTGTCAGGAAATTGAGAAAATTTCAGCAAATATGACAAAAAGGTATTTTTATATAAGGTTACCTACTGCAGCTTTAACCAATTGGGCAGTTCAGGGTTAGGGTTAAGGTTACTGTGGGCAAATGAAAACCAAGAAAAATATAATGCTGCAGCAGGCACAGGTTTGGAGATGTGACCATGCTGACCAGAACAGTGCAGAAGAAAGAGGTAATTTAGGGACTGAAGATTTGGAGAAACATAAACCAAATGGAGACTGATGCCCTGGCTGTTTGTTTGCAGTGCACTGGGAGAAATGTATTCTAATTGGAGGAGTTCTGCACAGGTTAAAAAACTGTTTTCCTGCTGTATCTGTATATTTGTTAAGAAAGTGAATTGTCCTAGTTTGATCCATTCATACTTTTTATCATTTATCAGAGAAATGAGCTTTGTTGGAAGTAGATATTTTCTCCATAAATCTCCCCTTTCTACTGAATGCCTGCTTTGATAATCCATTAAACATCAACGGTTAAAAAGTAACTCATACTCTAAGTACTTTTTGAGAAGAATACTTTGAAACAATTACCCACATTGGTTTGGTTGAAAAAAAAAAAACGTAAAAGTACAAAGACTGTGGAAAGACGTTTTGGTGAGTTTTATTTTTTTTTCTGTTGCATTGTTTTGGCTTGAGATGCTGGTGCTCTGGTGAAATCCAGTGGTTATTTCATACAGTGCATCTGGGAAGTATTCACAGTGCTTTTTTTTATTAAAAATAAAAAACGAAAAATTCACATGTACTTAAGTATTCCACAAAAGCGTTTACCAAAGACAACTTCAAACTGATTCATCTTACTGGAGTTATCTACAACTTTGGTGGGGGGGGGGGGGTTACACACAGCAAAAAGGCCACAGGTCACATTGGAAACCCTCGGTAGTCGCTGCAGTAAGTACTCAGCCTTGGTACAGCAAGGCCGACTGTTTAATGAAAAAAACATGGTGGCCCTCGAGAGACTAGCAAACATGTAATCCACATTTCTCTCTGTCCTCCGCTGTCTGTCACCTAGAGGTTTGTATACAGGGCCCACTTAACAAGGCTCGCCCCCTCTACCAATGAGCCTCAACTCCAAGGGGTGTGTCCAGAAAGGTAGGCTGGGTGGGCCTGGGCTGGGCCCTGGGGTGGGGTGGCACAGGGCGGAGCTAGAGGGTGGCTCGGTAGCCACCCACTGGCCACGCTCCGTTGAACCTTGACTTGGACACCTCGGAGTCGCCACCAGCCAGTTGTTTCACATCACCTGCGCGCCTCCTTCACCATCGCACCCTCAATTCAAAAATCGGCAACTGAATTTCATCTTCTGGATGTATTTCTACAACTTGGTGGCGCGCCGGCGGTGCGCGGCGACGGCGCGCGGCGGCGCGGCGGCGCGCGCGCGCCGCTTCGCGACACACAGGCAAGGCCACAGGTCAGCCATCGCGCGCCCTTCGACTCGCTGCACGTACAGCGGTACTCAGCCTTGGTACCCGAAGGCTACTGTATTAATGATACAAAAACATTGGCCGCCACCTGGAACTAGCCACACAGTCCTCGCTCACATTCTCTCGTCGCCCCCGCCGCCCTTCACGACCCGCCGCGCGGCACTACCTCCCCCGGTCGTACCCAAACTCGAGGCGCGCCCTCAAACTCCAAAGGGTGGTGTCCAGAAGGTAGCCGCCAAATGGGGGGCCTGGGCTTGGCCTGGGGTGGGGTGGAAGGGGTCTCGGAGTTAGAGGCGGTGTCTGGGCTAGACTTGGCCACCTCTGGAACACCTGATGGACACCTCGGTGCCCACCCCAGTTGTTTACAGGTCACCTG